GCAGAAGGCAAAAAACATTTCCGGGTGCTAACATGTTAAAACTACTTCATATAAAGCTTTCTTAAAGGACTGTTGCGACTGTTTTGCATTTCTTCACAACATAGCAACGTTTTTCATAATAATCTAACGGTTTTTTCAAAAAGTCGGCCTTCTAGTTATCATTGAGAAATTCAGGGAAGGCTGTGACAATAAGTTGACGTCAGAAACCAACTGGATCTCAACTCCGCACTTATTTTTCATTGAGCCCTTCTCATCAGTTCAGAATGAAAACACTTATGCTCAACTATTGGCAGAAAGTAAGCAAAAAAGAACAAGAACAATGCATCGGAATTTCAGAGCCGCAAATAAGCGAAGCACAGTAGGGGAAATTCAATTTTCAGTTGCCGTACCACGAGGCAAATGAATTTAACCTCCACTTACTAGATTCCTTCAAGATGGGCTATGTGACTTCACAGCAAATTATACTAAGTTTCAAATAGGAAATGAAAGTGTGCACATAAGTTCTTGTTTGCTAACTCGATTTGTGCTATCTTTCAGTGACTGAACGTACGCATTTTGTATCACCGCACATAAGAAAAAAACCTCAATGGAACACAAGCTTACTTTTGGTCTCTTTTTCAGCAATCTCCTCCTTCTTATCAGAATCCATGCGGAGGAACGTTACGTAACGTCCGTTCGGATCAAATGATGGTTTCTAAATCGTGCCCAACTCTGTGCACACTTTGGCCGATCGAATGTGTGTGTCCGGCCTGCTACTTGTCTTCTGTGAACGCGAACACTTTCAATTGGTCGGCGTCAGCCATGCACGTGGTTTGGGCTGTCGTATGCCCTGAGGCCAATTCCGCTGACGTCTGCCACCCCCGCAACGCAATGTACTGGTTGCCATGGCAATGCCTCTAGGTTACTTCGGTTTGCCGCACAGCATGTCCGCTGCCGCAAATACAAGTAGCACAGTTCCATTTGGGGCACAAAAAACTTATGGGCGGAATATGACGGCCGTTACTTCACGCCCCTTCAGCAAGCTGTCAGACAGAGGTGTTCCAAGGTCCATAATTCAGACAGAATAATTATTAACTTCACACATGATAGCCATTTGGACACAAAGAACTCTCGATGCTACGCTCTATCTAAATGTCATGCGCGCTGGACTGTCACAAGAAGCCTCGAACAAAATTAACAGCAAACGACGAGAAGTGATAAGTTAAAAAGCAATCGAATTAATTTTAGAAAAGTGGATGTCTGAAGATATAAATGTTTACGTTCGTTCGACCATAAGGCGCGCACGCGAAACAGACGCACGGTGCAGTATAAGCTTTTTTGTAGAAATCTAATCAACCGGACCATGAGCACGTTTTAGATGTTTGGCGGTTGAAGCTAAGGGGACGCGCACTGCCCCCTCCCGACGTGTTAGAGCGATCGCAGGAATAACTTTCTTATTATATGCTTAGTGATGCTGCCCTTGCTAGTGAGTTTCTAGACCCAAGGTCATTCTCGGAAATTGCAGGACGTAAGAGCGGGGATGGCCATGATGACTGGCACCCCTAAACTGCCGTCTCGATGCCAAGTCTGCGATTGACCTCGGGTGGGAAAAAGAAGGGTAGGTTGGTGAGGGGAAACACCACCTCCAGTGATTCCGATATCAGCTCTGACGATGGAGGTTCTTAATATTTTTGAACGTCAAGATGGGCATCACATGCAATTGAACTTGCCCCCTCAGTTCATAAAGCGCGTTCGATAAATGTCACAGACGTTCCGTTAGTAGTACGCTTTCTTTCTCGAAACAAATGCTAATGCAACCGCTAGCACTGCATACTTCGGTTGCTCAATAATCATATCAGTACGTAATTGTCGGGAAAGGGCTAACTGTGGCGTGAATTTGTAGCTCGATCTTCACTCTTATTGGCAAACTAAACTGTAGGGTCTAGGCCAGATCATTTCCTACAGTAAGCTACCCTTTCTGATTACTCATCGTTCCCCCAAATTTTCAGTTTACTTGTTCATATAAGTTTACAATTTGGGTCTAGTGAAGTCTTTTCATTACCAATTTGTGCTGTACACTTCCAAAGAAATTCCCAGGCACTTTGCAACGGCGGGTTTGCAAGACATTTTATATTAATAAATAAGCTTTTACTGATTTAGGCTAGTTGGTAGGTAGTTATTCACTCTGGCAAGGGAAAGTGCCTTCATCTTACCACCAAGGACATTAGACTGCTACCTCACTACGACTAGAATTAACCGCTGTCATTTTATAACAGCAACCTATGACTTCTTTTTAAACCTACGCCTGTTAGATTCTCTTCATCAGCAGACTTTGACAGGCGGTTAATTGCAAAGGAATCCTGTGACGTCTGTTGTATGGCTACGCGTGTGCGTCTGTTACTTCGGAGACTAAATAAACTTCGGTCTACCAAGTCGGTGTGGTGTTTGACAATCGAGGTACCCAGTTTCACAAATTTGCAGCCACAAATGCACAGTCTGAAGGTCGACGAACCGGTTTAATCACACCTTAGATTTCACACCCCATGTAGAGGGCAGCAGCATGGGGTGGCTTCCGCTTAAGCTTTGCATGTCTTCAGATCTTAAAGTCTGTTGACTAAGCCTGTGAGATGTTAGCATGTGAGAGGCAACTGACGCCAGATATGCGGGCCATTGGTTGGGGCCGAGGTTACCTGCAGACCAGTATTTTATTGCACTAGGCTAAAATATGTTTTTAATCCAAGCTGCCGATTTATGCTTGAGAACATTGCATAATATTATCGTGTCCCGAAAGCCACCCCTCAAAACGAATACTGCCTCTGATAAGCGAAATAAACCCATCCTCTTACTTCTCTTTTAATGTAACTTCTAAAGTTTCGCTAAATTTTGACAAAATATTAGTAACCGAATGTTTGTACGAGGACAGAGCACAAAAGTTGGTGCTTACCAGCATTACCAGAACCTCCCTCCGGCGGAATATATGTTATTGTAACGTCAAGTGTGCCCTACCAAACAGCAAGGAAAAGTGAATCTATGAGAGAATTTGATCATAGCAAGATGGAATAGTTAAAAGCGACCTGAATTCCAAAGTAAGCTTAAACATTAGGCTCGGGAGCAACAGCTAATATAGAAATGGTATACGTTCATTAACTACTGTTGTGTCTTGAGCCCCCTTTTAAAAAGCACAAGTCTATCGGTTGATACAAGGACCACTGTGCCAAATATAAGACATCAAGGCCGTCGATCTCCAGCGTATGCCACCCAGTTGGGTCATCCGCTCTATGTGTAGTAACAGTAGGTACAACTATCAGTAACATACTGTCAATTTTTCAAACAGTTTCCACTAGGATTACACTTATCCATCGTACACACTTAATACCGTTCATCTGGTTGGTTTACATCACGCTCAGCTCTAATTTAATGTGCTGAAATTTTCAGCACTTTTACCTGCTGAGAGGAGTCAAATACCATTCTAGTGACTCATATCCATCGCTGGTCTATGCACACATGAGGGGTGGAGAGTGCTTAATTATACACAAAAAAGAAGACGGCGTTATGTATCCGTTTGCCAGCAAGATCGTAGGTGACGAAATATTTGGATCACTTTTAAATGCCGTGCACAGCCGAGCCGTGCTTTCAGAAAGCGAGAGGTAAATGCATCCATACGGGCCGCGTCATAAGTGTCTTCTGCCAGATTTAGCCCATATTGCTGCCGGTTTTACGACGTCTACAGGTTTTGTCATGACCTCAGAGAGGACTGCAAACACTGTATTTTAGGACCCAGGGTTATGTAAGGTCAAACTCTGATGCAAAATGAAAGGCTTAGGTTGGGCCCAGAAACAAAACTGAGACCTTTTGCTTAAGAAATAATGAAAATTTAAGTGATTTGTAGCTTCAGAAGATTTAAAGAAGACCGATATACACACAGAAGGAAAGATTTATAGTCAATGTACTACCTCACTTATCTAGTTGTCCATCTTGCTGCGTTTATTTAATAGTAGATCGATTTTGTAGCAGCGAGGAACTAATTCCACATACAAAACTACTCGCATGTATTGAAAAACATTGAAATAATCTGTAGTCTAAACGTTTAATATAAGTAACGCGGGAGGGAAATTTCGAAATGCCTAGTTGGCTTAGTTTAGTTGTACAGCAAACTCCTCTCTTGGTGATCCTATTATCCAGCACAGTTTAACAGGCAAACGCTGTTTTCGTCTTAAAAGAACCATAAAATATGGAAAGATGCACATTTAACTGGAGATTGTGATCCTTCTTAAGTTCTTAAAAGACGTAACGCATTGTTTGATTATAATAGTAGTACAGATGTTATATTTTAATTTCAAAAATCTGCTGCCTTGAGCATGACGCCTCATCAATTTTCAAACGCCCTAGCCACGCTTCCTAATAGCACTCCACCAATTTTGTCCTGCATAAGCGAAGTTTTTAGATTTAATTATATATCTTTAGATTTCGAGGTTATATCCCCTCTAAGCACAAAAAACTAAAGGGAATTTTTGTTTGAAGTGTTAAAAGTAAACTGCAACTTAGAATGCTCCTGGAAGCATTAGAAGTAGGCTGAACATAAGAGAGTCTTACGTAAGAACTTACCTCAGCTGGATTGTCTTTTTTGTCGGTCAGGGTTAAGCTTTTTTTCATTTCTTTAGCACCACTGATCATACCTCCAAGTTGCACTTTGGCTCGGCCCATGAACCTGACAGAAAATCAATTAAGTAATTAAGTATTCCACGCTGTAGCGGTAGGTTTAATTGTATTTTGCCTTCAAAAGAGTTATATTATCCTACCGTGGGTAAGGAAGACGCACACAAGACTTTAAGTGCGCAGAATAACTTTCAAAACGGTTAATATTGCTTTTCAGGCAAACGATAAAATGAATCCTCAACTATTACATTTGTCTGAATTAGAGGAAATTCGTTCTCCTGTCTTATATGCGTGTTGTTTATTACCAAACTGTTAACAAAATTTTCATTACCGAAACGTGACTCTGGTATAATTTATTTTGGTCATACTGGACAATAGCTCCTCTTACTGACTTAATTGTTGCTTCATTTGTTTCTGTTTAACTGCCTACTGTCAAATTCAATTTTTTATTCAAACACTAAATTTACTCGTTAACAAGATGCCAACGATTAAGAGCTGAAGTGCGAGTTAATCCAATAAACTCGAGTAAACGATTTTGGTACCTATCATTATAACTTCAGTTTAGCAATATGAGCACTGAACTACGTGATGAAGATTATCAATAAAATCAGAAGCAGAGAAACAGATGTGAAAATACCATTGATTAACTCGTGATAAAGAAAGTGTGGCTGACGGAATATGAATCTCATTTACTTATTCTTCTGTGAGTATGGATCGATTTGTGGGCATAAAATCTGATAAACAGTCAACTTAGAGGCTAATTACAATATAAGTAAGGTAGCTCGTATGAGTTTTCCTTGAATATAGTTACCATCGATGACTTTTAATGGCACTTTTTGGTTCAAAAGAAGTGGTTTGCCAATTTCTTATATCTTGCATACGTATTGTAGATAAAGGCTTTATTTTGTTTTGATGTGTTTGAATAAAGACATATAAACAGGTCTGAATGACACTCAAACCAAGTTCCATTATTACGCCTAAACGCTTAGATGTAATTACATAAATTATCTACACTAGCTGTCACAGGAAGGCATTTACCAAAGAAGCAGAATATTTTAGATCAATTATTTTAATTTAGTTGATGAATGATTGCAAACGTTTCTATAAAACATTTTAAGAATTTCTTATACTAGTTTTTTAATTTTAAATCACATAGAAAGCATAATATATTAGTAGTAATGACTGAAAAAACCAAATTTGATATCAGTTTGAATAGTGCAAAATGATTTTCATGTTATCGCGAATTGCAATGCCGCTGGTTCAATAGTTTTTAGTTGCACGTTCGTTACAATGTAACCTCTATTGACTGTAATAAAATATAATGCGATTCATACGCATTTTATTTGCATGCACTAACATTACTCTGCCAAGTAGAGTTCATCATCAACGATATTGGTAAGAAAACACCTTCAACAACAGGTTCTATGTTAGATATTTTAAACGTTGTCCGTCGTGAATTTTTCGATCATAATAAGTTATAATTTAAAAGGACAAACCGAAAATTTATAAAAGTTCGAGACAGTGCTAGTTAAGTCAACACAGCAGAATATACCTATGTTGCGTTAGTCTCACCATATCAGTGTGTGTATAAAGCTTTTAAAGAAAGATTTGCCAGAGTTTTAGGGTAACTATACATTTTTCGTTCCAGAGTACCAAATCTTTTGGCCCATAAACCGTAAGATTATACAATATGTAGACTACTATCAGTCAAACTAAAACAGCCAAAGTTTTTGTCTTATGGGGATTTAATAAAGCAAATAATACTACGGTCGCATTGAGACAGATAAATAAAATATTTTAAGACAATACACGTAATTTGGAAATAAATTGCAAATACTGCAAAATGACAATGGTTTCATTTGTTCAGTTCATTTTATTCAGTTTGGTTGAGGGACATATAGGTGTGTACGTTTGAATCTTGTTTTTTTGCAAAAGTTCGCACGGTCTATAAAGGATAATCTCTAAGGCAGTGTTACGCTGCATTTTTTAAACCGTTATCTCCATTTTCAAATGACATAAAACTCTTTCGCCATAGTTCACATTACTGGTTTGCAGTTCAGAATTATCACACTTCTGTCTTCATGTTTACGATATGTGAATAAAAGGTATGGTTACTGTCATTTATCTGAGTATTTTTTGGGAATTTTAGATCATTAATAAAAGCTTGAAAAGGAGGTCTTACTTTCCTGTGCCAACTTTGTCATAGTCTCTAACGTCGAAAATAATTTCGTCGGAGGCTGTGAGCGGTTTGCCTTTCAAGTCGAAAGTCAAAGTCTAAGAACAATTATCACCATCGTCAAAACTGAATTACCTCATTCCACGTCGGGTTAAGTTCGTCTTCTATATGTTTGGTTTTTTGCTTTTCGCCTAATAATGAGAGGGAAATTGTTAGCATATAATTCAGAATAATTTGAACCGCCTTTAAATAAATAATGAAAGTGTTACATATTTGGTTCGTTAAATGCTTTTGCAGATTTATTAAGCAATATGAGCTTTAAATTTTGACATTGAGAATGACAACTTGTAATATTTGGAAGCTTGCAGATGTCTATATAGATTCACTGTTAGTGCAGCGTTCAACAAGTAATCCTTCACTTTCTACTAATAAATCACTTAAACAATTGGTTTGAACAGTTAGTTTAACCTGTGGTTTTCATAGATTACTTATAGACACAGGCACAAATGCTTCGGTTTTTGACACTTGTAGCTACGAGTGTCAAAAAACCCACTAGTGGGGCTATCTCTTATGAGCAGGATACCAGTAGCTGGGTAACAAGGAGATCATTCAGAGAAATAAGAAAACCACCTAGTGAAAAAAAACAAGCGGAAAGATATCTCAAGTAATTAAATCTATTTATTTATGAGCACCCCTGATTATATCAGGTTGACAAAGATAGCATACGGCAAACAAAACGGTACATTACCAGAAATGGTTAGCCATGATCGACCGCATGTCATCACCCTGTAAACACATGGCCCCACCTGTGGTGGGGCCAGAGACGGGGCCAGGT